CTTCCTTTTCCTTCTTCCTTCTCCATATTCCTCTTATTCCTTTCTTCCTTTCCTTCCTTTCATCCTTCCATTCATCCCTCGCTCCCTCCCATCTCTCTCTCTCTCCCTCTCCTTCCTTCCTTTCCCTTCTTCCTCTCTTCCTACTCCTCTTTCCTTCCTTCAATCCTTCCATCCATCCTCCCTTGCTCCCTCCCATCTCTCTCCTCCCTCCCACTCCTTCCTTCTCCTTTCTTTCCAGCTCCTCCTCTTCCTCTCCTTCCATTCTTCCTTCCTCCCTCCCTCCCTCAGTCCTTCTCCTTCCTTCTTTTCTCCCTCCCTCCTTCTCTCCTTCCTTCCCTGCTCCCTTGCCCTCCTCCCTTCCCTTCCCTTCCCTTCCCTTCCCTTCCCTTCCCGGAACTGACATTTGCAAACCGAAATAAAAAAGTCCCATTGATTGGATTCCTTTCCGGAGGGCGGAATTGGATCGTGAAATGCCAGATTCTCCACCCCCCACCCCCGTGTGATAATTGCTCGATAATCACAACAACAACAACAACAACGCTCCCTTCCAGGACGTCAAATCCCCTCAATTCCCTCCGAGCTCTTTCTGTTTGATTTATCCGCCTGAAAATGCCCCCAAATGGAGATAATTGCCTTGAATCGGTTGCATAATCCCATCCGGCCTGGTTTTTTGTGTGTTTTTTTTTAAATTTAAAAAGAATGAGTAGTTTCCTACTGGGATCCTTTTGCTCTCAAGGAGAGCTGGGTAGAGCTGGTGAAAGAGTTGCCTATTCCTTTTGTTTCTCCTTTTGAAAAATTCTGTAATTCCTTTTAGTGCACTCCGTTTATATAGAGGGCGAAGATCTAATTCGATGCGATAAAAGTTCTGTTGTGACCAGTATTTTTTTTGGGGGGGGGGGTGTTAAAATCATCTTCTGAGTATCAAATGTGTCAAATAATCCGAGACGGACATCCCTCTGGGAAAGACACTAGCACATTATGCAATTTATTCACATTACATGGTGTAATATAATATTTTTTGGAAGCGAGAAGAGATGGATGGATGTTTTTGCCAGCTTCGCTCAAGGCCTAGGGCAGTGTTTCTCAACCTTGGAAGCTTGAAGATGGGTGGACTTCAACTCCCAGAATTCCCCAGCCAGCGCTGCTGGCTGGGGGATTCTGGGAGTTGAAGTCACTCATCTTCAAGCTACCAAGATTGAGAAACACTGGTTTAGGGGATAACTTGGCAACTTGAAGCTGAATGGACTCCAAGTCCCAGAATTCCCCAGCCGGCATGCTTTAAGACGGGAAGACATCAACTCCCAGACTTCCCCAGCTTTAAGACTGATGGACTTCGACTTTCCTAGCCAGCATGCTTTAAGAGGGGTGGGCTTCGACTCCAAGAATCCCGCAGCTGGCATGCTTTAAGAGAGATGGACTCCAACTCCCAGATATAACCAGGTTTAAGATGAATGGACTTCACCTCCCAGAATTCACCATCCACCATTCCATTGCTAGGGAATTCTGGGAGTTGAAGTCCACCCATCTTAACCGTGCCAGCATTGAAAAACTGCCACCGAGACCCCACAAATGATCAGGTTTTCATCCTTCCAATGTTCCTCTGCTTAACCCCTTTCGAAGGGTGGTTGAGAAGAGACATCCCCCCCAACCCTAAATCTTCAGAAAAGGGTCTGGGGGCAGTCTTCCTTCGCTCGTCCCCACCATTTTAGGAACTCTTGGTCTGAGACCGCAGGCCCTCCGATCCTTGAACAAACCATTGTCTATCGAATGGCAAAATCTGAAGTCAGTCTTGTGAAAGGTGTGTGTGTGTGTGTGTGTGTGTGTGTGTGTGCTTGTGTGTGTCTGGATTGCAGCTGCCGAGATTTGGGAAGGGGTGGGGATGGCGTCCCATTAGGCAGCCTTGCCCCCAAGGAGATTTCTCCTCGTCTCTTGAGTTCAAAGAAAGTTCTGTGTCCGCTCTGGGCTCTGTGACGTCTGTCCTTGACCCATTTCGGAACCTGGGTGGCTTTGACAAGCTGGCGACAAACCGCCTTGAGCCAAGCCGGCTTTTGAACTGTGGATGAACTAGCTGGCTGGCAACGGATGCTGGCCTGTTACAGGGGACTGCCAAGTTGAGAGAAATTTATACATACATATACACATGTATATGTATGATTTATCTATTTATCTATCTATGATCTCTATCATCCGTCTATCTATCTATCTATCTATCTATCTATCTATCTATCTTATCTATCTATCTATCTATCTATCTCTACCTACCTACCTACCTACCTACCTACTTATCTATCCATCCATCCATCCATCCATCTATCATCCATCCATATCTGTCTATCTATATCTATATCTATATCTATCTATCTATCTATCTATCTATTATCTACCTACCTACTTATCTATCCATCCATCCATCCATCCATCCATCTATCATCCATCCATATCTATCTATCTATCTATCTCTATCTACCTACCTACCTACCTACCTACCTACCTACCTACC